TGCGGAGGAAACCCCTGCCCCAGCGCCCGAGGCTCCCGCGGGGTCGCCAGGACCCTCCGCCTCCCGCCGGGGCCGACGAGCAGTGGCAGCGCTCGGACCTTTGGGGGCCTCTGGGTCTCGGGCCGGGCTGTGGATCCCGGACCCGGCGAAAGCGCAGCCTCGGGAGGCGCCGGCTGCTGAGATGGGGATGGGACCCGGGCAGACGCGGGAGCTGGGCCGAGCGCGAGGGCCCCGTGGTCGGAAAGCTCCGCCTGGGCCCCGCGGCGGCTCTGGGAGCCCAAGGACAGTTAACCGGTTGCTACTGTACTGTCATTAGTGCAGGATCGTGGCGTCTGTCATCACACAGAACGTGCTATGCGGTTTATTTCGTTTGGAACCCGCTCTAGGACAGCCCTCCCTCCCTCACGTCGTTTTGTTCCTGCGCCGCGGAAGCGCCTCTTCCTTTCTCTTTTCTCCATCATCTGGGTGGTTCTTGCATCTCAGGCTGTCCACAACCTGAGAGGTCTGTGTGTGCTCAGCTGGGCTCCTGTTCAGCTGGGGAGGAGCCCAGGAATTGGCATTTTACTAAGCATGGGGGGGGGGTTTCTGGATGCTCCCCACCCTTTGGAAACAAAAGCCCGGTTGGTCAGGGTGAAGTACCAAGGTTCTGAGGTCCAAAGGAGCTGGGTTCGAACCTCCACAAATTGCCTAACGTCTCTGAGCTAACCACCCCCTCCCCCAACACACACCCCTATGTACAGACCTCACCACCACCACCCCGCCCCAGCCCCCTGCCCCCAGCACTTCCTGGCCTCCTCCCCAGGGGCCTGGCAGAAGGGCTCCGGGGCCCTCGGCCGGGAGAAGTAAAGGGAATGAGTGTGACCGGGGCACTTCCAAGGCCAGGTTCCTGGGACCATTCAGTCTTAACCAAGGCTCAGAATTGCTACTCCAGCATCCAAGTCCCACCCCCCACCCCACCCCCGTCCCCAGCTCCCCACTTCCTCTCGGAGTCTCTTGCTTAAAATTACTGTTCCTGCCTGCCCAGTCCTTTGAGATTGCTTTCTTTTAAACCTTTAGCCTGTCTGTCGGTGGACGCAGAGCCCCAGACAGTTCAAGACTAACCACCCACAGAGGGACGACCACAGAGAAGGAGCCATTGCTCTTCTTTAGGGGCAGGGCACGCGGGTGCATGGACCAGCCCTCACCCTGCTCCCACCTGGACAGCTCATCACTCTTGCCTGGACCTCAGCTTTCTCTTTGGTACAAAGGTCAGAATGTTGTAGTGAGAGCCCACGGACAGCGACAAAGCAATCTGTCTGTAGAATTCACATCCTTGTCTCCACCTGGGGTTCTTGGCTTGGGTTTGGCTTTGGGTCAGGGACGGACCTAGGAGAGCCTCCGGCTTGGCCATGGCTCTTACCAGCTTCCTTTTCTCCGAGCCCCACCTCTCTCTCCGAGCCCCACCTCTCTCTCCACTTAATACCTCTCAGACCTGAAGCTGGAGAAAGGTTTGTTTTTGCTCAGCGGGCAGAGCCACACAGAGAGATCTACTCAAAGCTGTTTGAGAATGATCCAGAGGTCATCTCTGCTCATGTATGAATTGTGACTCAAATGCCATTATTCAAGCTTCTGAGTAGCTGGGTTTAGGGGCAGCATAATGGGGCTGGGATGCTTAAGGATAGAGACCCCAGAACCGGTCAGACTTGCATTAGAATCCTGGATCTAGAATCCAGGGCTGGGACTAAGGTAAGACAAGAGAGGGGAGTCATGCAAGTCTTTCTTTAAAATGTTGATATTTTATTCATCATGAATTTAAAATTTTTGACTTAAAAATATTGCATGAAAATATTGTTTGCCTTGGCTATTGGGAGTATGGTGCCCCCTTAAATTCTACACCTTAGGCAAGTGCCTCAACCACCTCACCCTAGTCTGTGAAGCAAGAAAAAAAATTTTTGGAGCAAATTGGTTTCCCAGCTGGTTTTTGTTTGTTTGTTTGTTTGTTTTTCAGCTGTAAGATTAAGGTGATGTTGGCCACTTCACATGGTTGTTATGAGGAAGGAATCTTTGTACGTGGCTCAGGTCCTGCAGAATAGCAATTATGCAATTCATGGTCCAACTACTACTAGTAACTGCTGGAGCTTTTCTCTGCAGGTAGGTTGGAGCCCCCAGGCTGGTCTCCCCACCCCCTCTGGAGAAGTCAGCGCCCATCTTTGCCCAGGGCCTTCCTACCCAGACCAGTTTTTAAGGTGGAGTGGGGCAGAGGATTTGGATGATAAAGGCCAGGCCTAGGTGTTAATATAATTCTGCTCTGCAAACAGATGGGTTGGACGAGGATTTGGACAATTTGTGGGTTTCAGGGTCATGCTGTCCTCAACCATTTGTGTTGATTTAGCTCAAAACCCCATGGAGCTCCTGAAACCAGGAGGAAAATATATTCTTTCTTTTCCTCCCTCCCTCACTTCCTTCCTTAGTAGGAATACTAAGCACACACTGTCCCATGCACCATGCTAGTTGCTGGTGAGTCATGGAGCATATGACAATGTGGACCCACCCTCATGGAGCTCACAAAATGCTGTGGTGCTCATTGATCCAAATCCACTTCATTGAGAATTTCCCATTTGTGGATTCAAGTCTATAATTTACCTGCATTCCATTCTGGGAATCTAATGAAAAGTTAATCTAGTCCCCTCCCCACCCCACGCTTGATTCCAAGCATCAGAGGGTTTCCGAAGTAAAAAGAACTGCAGCAAAGAGAATGGCCCAGAGGATAAAGGCCAGAGGAAGTACTTGACTTCAGACAAGCTGGGGTCTGCTTGCTGCTGTGCAGATGTGTCTTCTCCAGACCCCTAAATCTGTTGTTTCCAAACCAGCACTAGTTGGGGCACTGGGATGGATTAATCAAAAAGCCAAACCATCTCTCTCTGGATCCAGGGACCTCCTGGTGACCTGGAATTGGATCTGTGGCCCATGAGCAGAGCTTCTTCTGGCCTCTCGGAGCCCTTGCCGGGCAGGCAGCAGACAGGGTTACCACCCCTGATAAAAATCATAGTCCAGAACCCACTCTCTTTTCTTCTGGCCGAGAAAATTTTTAATTATCTGGTTATATCTGAGAGATAGAGGTGGGGGAGGGCAGTGAGAGAATGAATGAGATTTGGGCTCTAGCTTAAAAGTCTGACTGAAGTCAGTGAGGGTCAGCATGAAAGAAAAGCTAGACCCCTCCCCCCCCCCAGGAGGTCTGTCCAGGTCCTGGTTTTGCTGTTAAGTAGCTCGACATCCCCCTGTCTTCTCCCGGCTGTTCTAGGTGGTTTCTCAGGCAAGCCCCTCCCCTCCGCATGAGTCCTCTTTCCAAAGGCTCCATCCCAAGGCTCGTGCACCCCAGACCGGCACTTGCCTCTCCTCTCCGCCAAGTGCACGTCAGCATGGCACCGCCTCCCACCCCTCGGAGGGGACCTCGAGAACTTCAAGCAGACCAGGGGAGGGTCTAGCCCAGCTGCCTGCCCGTGGCTCCTAAGACAGTACTCTTGAGCCTCTTTCGTTAAATGTACTGTGGAGTGTTGCCAAGAAACCCAGCCAGGCGGTAGAATGTTCCTAAATGCCAACAAGTGGGGAACTCAACCCAAACAGGTGCACAAGGCCATCCTGTGACGACGCCCATCCTCGCATGGCATTTACTGGTTAGGAGGACATGGATGGAAAGCTAAGCTCTCCCCATTACCATCCATCTTTAATTGAGCAGTAACTTTGGGGAGCAGGATCTGGGGTACGCTGTGGACGTCACTGGCCTGGGGCAGCTCATTGGCCTCAGTTGCTGAGTGGACTCAGGCTTCTCTGGACATCTATTTTTCATCCGTGAAGCTGGGGGGATGGTGGTGGAGGGAGGTTAACAAGATGATGCCTGAGCCCCCTCCAGGCTGGAACCTCTGGGGACTCCATCCTGGGTCATGAAGGGCAGGCAGTGGTCAGGGACCCCCCAAGCCAGGGTCAGCTCAAGTGAAGACAGGGTTTTGGCCAATGTGGCAGGATACCTGAGAAGATGGAATCAGACCAGAAGCAGACCTGGGGCTTTGTGTGGGCACAAATAATTAATGAGGGAAGAACCAAGCTGGGGGAGGGAGGGACGCAGGCAGGGAAGGCCAGGAACCTGGGCGGCCTCTGACTCAGACTCGCCAGCGGGTGGCGCTGTAGGACAAGGAGCTGAAGGTCTTTCTGCTGAGAGCTGCTTGCAGCCTGGGTGGGGAGCACCCTCAGGCTGGGGGACTCCAGAAAGCATCCAGGGTGGTGCTCCCAGGACAACAGTCACAGTCATAGCAAGTCCCATAGCATGTGGGCAAAAAGTGATTGTATAAATGAGGGATATTTCCAGTAGCTTTTTCTGGCTGAGCCCATACCCTCCACCTTGGAAGAGCAGGCCCGGC